AAGAAGGGGCCTCGGCCTAAAGGGACCAGACCTCGGCGTTGAGTCCATGCCACGCCGAGGTGCTGGAGGCTCGGCGTTAAGTGACCCAACGAGATTACGAACCACCGTGCTTTGTTGGGCGCTCCGGTGGGTCTATTAGCTCGGCTCAATGGCGCGATCCGGCCCGCGAGGTTGGGGCACTGGCGTCGGTGACGACGGCGCCGACATCTCGGACCTGCGCGCCACCGTGTCGGCGGCGACCCCGATTCGTCCGTGGCGTGGCAGCAATACCTCGGCGTTGAGTGACACGACGCCGAACCTCATATCTAGGCGTCATGTGCTAAGGCGCTTAAAAATGGTCTATTTTCAGAAAATATTTTAGCGTAAGTATTTTTCTAAAATTATTTTCAAAAGAGACCAAAATACAAAAATTTCGCTGTCCGGCGCGGCACCATGATCCTCGTGAACGCTTGGGTGATCCATCGGGATCCCAAATTGTGGGAGGCGCCAGAGTTCAGGCCGGAGCGGTTCTTGGACACTGCCATGGTGACGGTCACCGCCCCTTGCTGCCGTTCGGGCTTGGACGGAGGCGCTGCCCTGGGGAGGGATGGCAATTCGTCTCATGGGCTTGACACTGGCAGCGCTCCTGCAATGCTTCGACTGGGATGTAGATCAATGTGGTGCTGTTGACATGACCGAAGGTGTCGGGCTGTCAATGCCGATGGCCAAGCCATTGGCAGCAATCTGTCGGCCCAGGGAGTTTGTCAAGAGTGTGTTATCTGCTTCAACATGAATAGCCGAATGCAGGTTTCTGAAGAATACTTGCAGCTAGATGTGCATTATCAATGTTATAGCATATTCCATCTCCACTATGCATTTGTTCATGAAGTGAAACTGAATGAGGATGCAAAAGGGCGAGACGAGGGAATTTGATGGTTTCATGATATATTTTTGGTGTAATATCTGGAAAGAAAGCAATAGAAGAACATTCCAACAGGTGAACTGCAACCAAGACAATTTGCTTTCTTGAGCAAAGCAGATGTTGATCAATATCAACTGGCCTTTAATAGTCGCGACATCAACAATGAATTGTAGCCGGTGACATGGTTCAAGGCAGGATGTTTCTTCTTCGTCTGCAATGTGTTGCGGGTGATCTTAGTTGAGTCTTGTTTCCCTGTTGCTTCGGTTCCTCTGTTAGCACTTTGGCTGTTGCCGTATGCAGGTTGTTTCAGCTGCTGTATTATTTGGCTGCTGGCTGTTCTTTAGTCTTGGTTTTCTGGGCCTGTTTTTTTTTTTCATTTTGGGCTGTACCTATTGTTCTCTCTTCTAATAATAATATAACACGGCAAATCTCTTGCCGTATTTTCAAAATACATAAAAATTTATGCAGCGGTTTCATAGAACAAACAGACTGAAAAATGCCAGTTGCAATTAGTGATGATGTATGCCCACTGAAACTGATTTCAAATCTCAAACCAGCAGTGCCCTCTGATTGAATCATTTAGAAATGCCTCTGGTTTCTGATGGTTCAAATTAGCTTTCTGATTCAGAGATCCATTTGATGGTTAACATTACCCTTCTTACTTCTGACAATCAGAAAATTAATATTAGCTGTCTGATGCATAGACGATCTTATATTTAACATACAAGAATGTAACGTGAAAGATTAGGCATATTTGAATTATCCTTCTGAATTCTGATTGAGGTATCTTATTAGTTTTCTATTTTGTCTTTTTTTTTGGAAAGTTTCCTATTTTGTCATGTAACCTGTAAGCAATATAAAAACCCTAGATTGCCGGTTCCAGATGAAATTGCTAGAAGCAGTATCATGTTCTGCTTGCAATAGCATATACGAAACAGAATTCACCAAGGACCCTTGGTACCTAACATGGGTCTGTTCTTTCATTGCTGAAACGAAGCAAACAATCTGAAGCATATGGATATAGTGAGCATCCACTATCCACCACCTTGTCAACGTCAAAAAGAAAAGAAAAACTAGTTGGAGAAGTTGCCCCAGCTCCAGTTGCCTCTGTTTTTTCTTTGCAGCTGTACCTTCTGTCTTTGTTCTCTCTTCTAATGAAAACTTCACACCAAAGCTCTTGCCGTCCTTTTCAGATGAAAAGAAAGCCTGGAGTGAGAGCAAGAGATGAAGAGAACATAACTTTTGGTATTAGGTTGCAGATCTTAGGTGTGCATACTAATGTCACCTGAAAATAAATTCAGTATACTCAGCTGCTTATGAAAGACTCTTTCTCAGAGAAACTTCTCAGCCATGGTACAGTGTTTTTCTCTCGTAACAAAACAGCATCAGCTGGCTTATCAGCCGAACAACTTGTAATACAAGTGTAAAAAAAAATAGTGTAGTAGCCCGATGGCGGAATTTGAAAACACAACAAACGGTAAAAAGAACTACTAATAACTAGCCCCATGGGGAAAAATAGAGAAATAAAATAACATTTTCTCTGAAGTAATCAGATCGTGCGATCTTCCTATGAAAAAGTAATCTCCGTATCTGAGATCAGGTAAGCAATCTGCATACGACAAGTATCCTCCCGTGTTCGGATTATAGCCAGCATACGAAAAGCATGAGCATAAACTATCTTGTGGCACTTGTCACAGACAAGAGTCGGTTTCAGTTACCTTTAACAGGTCTAACTACTGCTGAAAATTACTGCCCAACGTCTTGAGAAGCTTCTGTATATCTTCTCAACAAATCTTACCTTGAGGTCAATGTCGTGTCGTACCAGAAAGGCGGCTAATACGGACACAGGATCATGGAGGTAGGCCTGATCAAGTCCAGATTTTCTTGCACCCATGTCAACCACTCTCTGTACTTCGGCAGCACCAACCATGCACCACGTCACCAGTAGACATCTCTTTCTCACATTTTTTTTCTGCTTTCTAGACTGGATCTAGACATGTATGGCCTCCTTCAGGATGCATCCACCTAGAGCTGATGTGGCCGAACATGACACCGAGAGAGGAGACTTTTACAGACCACATGCATCTGCAACCAACGGTGCAATGCCTGATGAGTCAGTAATCCAGTACATGAAATGGCAGAAAAGAGTAACCGTGGAAGAAACTCCTAGTAGAAAAGGAACTTTGTCTGGCTTTTGGAACAGGAGATTTGACTAATCTTCATCGTTTTCCCTCTCAGGAGGAATACTTGTGCTCATTTATCACATGAACTGGCATCCAGCATACTGTCTAATCGGTTTGGAAAACTTTGGCAGTTGCCCTCCCTCTGAAGACAGGAATATCAGAACAAATCGGCTTTTTTCGCCAATTAGCAATCACTATCACTTTCAGGTTGTAGTGTCCTAGACGATAAGCCAAATGGACAGAACATCTGGAGTTAAGATCATACTGCAAGTTACAGGATGGAGGGCAACTTGGTACCTGAACTGACATCAGCGCAGCACTTGCAACAGGGAACAGGCCAACAGGGTTAGCAAACAAGCGATGTGTTTCCTGTTCAGGCCATAGAAAAAAAAGGCAGTGAGTGATAGACAAGGACCTTCAGCTCAGCCAAGTAATAATGAAATAAAGAAGCATACCAGAGTGGACAAACAAAGGAACAAGATACCAATGGGTCCCTGCGAAATTGTGCTTGAAAAAATGCACCTAGATCTGCATATCTGACCGAAAAGGACATATGTTGGTCCTGCCCCCTGCAGATATGGTTAAGTATGTGGGAGCCTGGGAGGAAGAGGAACCCTAGGTGCCTCTCCTTTTCTATCTTGATCAAGTTGACTCAGTATCAAATGCAAGCCCTATCCATCCCCAACCCAAAGCATCCGGATTCCGACGTCATCGCCGGCACACTTGCACAAACAAAGGAGAGCAAGATGGCAAGAACTCGGCTTCCGTCTCATCTCATTCTCACCATGAAAGACTACCTAAAAAGTACAGGTGGTCAGCTTCCAGTGCACTTGTGACAGCAGCAGTCTCCCACTAAAGCAAAAAGAGAGAGAAAATTGATGCCTGGTGAGAGTTAGGAGAAAGAACAGCATGTGGCCATGATGCATCTACAGTATATAATAACTCAATTATTGGATCCCAAAGGGATAGCACCGGGCATAAAACAATATACTATTGGCCTCACCTTTGCAGCTTTAGTTGTTAGTTCTCTCATCACTTTTTTTCAGATCACAAGGCTGTAATACTGATAGGGGAGATCCCGGAAAGCATTTGTGTTTTATAGAATAGAACACCATCGTTGAATAATGATCAGTACTAGTCTTGCTGTTGTCGCCTGTAGATCTGAATTATTGTGAGTTCTGACCTAACCAGCGTGCTTTTAGTACAAAAAAGGTTGTGTTGAACTGTGTCAGCAGTGTACAGCACACAATTGTCCAACCAACAGTAGTGCACAAGGTCGACAAGACAAGATACCAGTTGCAGGATTGCCTGTTTTGGCCTAACCTAAGAGTCACCCTAGAGTCCGAAATTGTCGGCATTCCTGATAATCCCAACAAGATTCATGACTTTGTGAAATGGCAAATCGCTTTCATGCATAACATAACATCCTCTGCAGAGTAGTAGCCAAATGGCACCTGTATGAATGGGAGAAACTTTGCCATGAATTGTACTGTCACTCTCTTTTCTTTTGGAAAAAAGAACAGGGGTGCACACATCAACAAGTGAGATGGGGGTGAACCAGGAAATCAAATCGCCATGGGCCATGGCAAGTGGAGTAGTAAAGATTTATATATATGTATATGTATGCATGGGCCAGAGCACAGAGCCAGACAGGGAAGAAAGAGGAGATAGATAAGCAACTTGATAGATATCCACTAACTCCAGACAAAGTTCTTTACCTCCAGATTCCTCACAAAGGCCCTCCACAAGACCTCAATTATTACCCTCCAAAAAAAATTCCATGTTCCTCCTACCTCATCCTCCTTTATAAAGCAGCAAACTGCAAACTGCTTCTGATGCACCATCCAGGGGCTGCAACCTAAAGCAAGAACAAGCTTCAACCTTGCAGAGAGCAGAACTAGAGCAAAGCGAGAGAGATGGAGCAAGGAGACGAGGCGTCGTCAGTGAACAAGGAGAGCCCAGAGCAGCAGCTTACCAGGGACGACGGCGCGACGTGGCTGAACCTCACGCTGGGCGCGAGCGAATCGCCCTCGCCGGACGCCGCGGCGGCAGCCCTCGGACGCGAGCTGCTCCGCCGAGTACGGGTCCGGGTCCGGGTCCGAGCCCGGCGCCAACAAGCCGTCCGCCGCCGCCCCGCACAAGGTGTTCTCCTGCAACTTCTGCCTGCGCAAGTTCTTCAGCTCGCAGGCGCTGGGCGGGCACCAGAACGCGCACAAGCGGGAGCGCAGCGCCGCCAAGCGGTCCTACCACGCGCAGCGGATGATCGTGGGCCTGCCGCTGCACGCGCACGCCGCGCTCATGCACTCGCTCCGGGTCAACCCGGCCTCGTCGGCGATCCACAAGGCGGCGGCGAGCCAGCAGGCGGCGCCGATCAGAACGGCGGCGAGGTTCCTCGAGGACAGCGGCGTGGCCGCGGCCTGGGGCACGATCGCCTGCGAGGAAGCGCCCAATTCGGCGTGGCCTGGGAGCTTCAGGCTGAGAGCACAGCACACAGAGCATGAGCAAGCGTCTGAACAGAGTAAGATCGACTTGAACCTCAGGCTCTGATAAACTGCTGAAGTGCATGAGCAGGTCTGGTTTGTTGAAGTGCATGAGCTAATCAAGGTTCATCTGCTGAATAAACTGGTCTGGAGATGTGCCCGGCTCGTCCGGCTGGTCAGGTTTGGGATGATTTTTGATGATTCAATAGTATTCTGTAAGAGAGAATAAGCTGAAACAAGCTGGGACCTGACCAGCGGAGATCAGGTTCAGCTCACTATGACACTGTCAGATGAAAAACCATATGGTGGTACTGAATTTTGGACATATTGGTGTTGTTTATGAGTTGCTGTTAGAATTATTTAATGGTACTACAAATTAAGTACTCCGTATTTCTGTAGCTGGAAAATGTACTTAGCCCTATTGACATCAGTGAGAAGAACTCGTTGATTCTGCACTTTCTAGTTCCTACTGACCATATATCGGCCACATCCTCATCAGTTTTCTTCCATGTTTTGACAGTTTTTGTTAACAAATCCTCTCAAAAGAAATTGAGACAAAAGTATTTGCGTACAATAATTGTGCAGAAACTCCCTGAATTCTTATGACAAACAATTCAGGATTAGAATAACACACAGCTCTGGGGACAAGGACAGCAACATAAGCAGGAAAACATGGAGTTAGAAGTTGTGCTGTGTTGCGTGCTACATAAGTTCATCCAAATTTAGTTACGCAACACATAAATTTGTCACGACAAAGTAGTGTTCATCCCAATTTAGTTATGAACACATGAACTTGTCACGACAAAGTAGTACTGTGTTGCGTACTACATAAGTTCATCCCAGTTTAGTTATGCAACACATAAATTTGTCATGACAAGTGTGCCCATCTCAATCCATGTCTCCGTTTATAGTAAGGCAATAGCAGGAAGTAACTTGGCACAATTAGTTGCCTTGGAAGCTCAATCAAAGTACTCCATCTTGCAAGAGCTGCACAGTGGCCGTTGTAGGTAAACGAGAAGCATGCTTTCAGGGTTCATACACACAAAAAAATACAAGTGATAATACAGATAATTGAAACCTCATGAGAGCACTTACACAAGACAGGCCTGAAGCAAGTTGTGCCAATTTTGTTATGTTGACAGGGAACACGTTTCAGGCATGCATCAAACACACTGCTTCAGATATATTTCCAAAATGGTAATTCGCCCGTTTGAGCAAACCAGCATACGCAATATTATCAGAACAAGTGTATATTGGCAGGATGGCATCAGAGTAAGCAGATAATTGGGCTGCATGCAGCAAACAAACATCCATTTTCCACCTGAGATTCAGAGACCGGCATCTTGCCCACATGTCATGTTTCAGGGGTTACCTGAACTACCGATCTGTGGTATGTCAGTGTTCACTTTTAATATCTCCGTAGAATCAAATTATGAGTACCATTAAATCTCTAACCATAGTCAAAAGATGCTCCGACCATAGGAGTACATGTGTTAATGATTAGGGATTAGCAATGAACAGGCCTCTATTGTTTGGTTTAGACAATAGTTGCAACAAATAGGCAACCATATATTACCACTGTCCAAAATAAGCATAATACTGAATTTGTTCTAGCTGTACAAGTCCCTGCATATAAAAGTAGGTATATCACACACTTGACAGGTACTACCTCCGTCCCAAAACGAATGCAATTCTAGGCACATTCTTTGTTAAAATACCTAAAGTTTGACCAAATATATACTATATATAGGTAAAGACATTAATGTTGATGACACCAAATAGGTATACTATGAAAATATATCATGACAAATCTAATGAATACGGATACATTTTTTTTATATATAATTAGTCAAACTCATGATACTTTAACTTCGTATTGTGCTAGAATTGCATTCTTTTTTTGGACGGAGGAAGTAACAGAATTTGTTACTGAGATCAATCAGATGGAAGGGTCTAACGTATCAAACATTACATTTTGTGGCCAACAGACCAAGGCAAGATGTGACTAGGATATGATACAAAGAATACAATTCACAAAACAAGAGCATGCCTGGCCTCACTACTACTGACTCAGCGGCGACTCCTAAAGAACCTCACATAAATAGCTTTCAGCACCCTACTTAACTGAGAAGAAGAAGCTCATCACACAGTTATGCTCCCCTGTCCCTAAGAGCTCAAGGAGAGCTCAGATTGTTAGCCTTACAGTGGTGCCATCCAAGAGCAGCTACTCATCTAAGTCTTCAAAGTATGAAGCAGGGATCACAACAGGGGGAAGAAGCGTTGACACACATTTGAACTGTTCCAAACGATTGGAGAGTTAGACTCACAATGCCATTACGACATTAGCATTCATATACAAGGAAGATTACTAGACTTTAGAAGATGTGTATACCTTGTGTTGCTTGTACTTGTCTCGAATTGCCATTAATGATGGACATTTCCTGTTGAGCTGCAAGTCATGTATGGCTACAATGCAATCCTTGAGTTCAGAAACTTTGTAGCCTGTCATCTTCTGCAACTTCGTGTTCTATAATTACATGCAAAAAAAATGAAGGATAATGAGCCTTGAGAAACAGAGAGATCCTTTGCAGGCATCAAGAAGATCCTTCAGTTCCTTACCCAAGGATTGACATTTGGATCAATGGTCAGCCTAGCAACAAACATAACTGAAGCAGCAACAAAAGATGGCAAGAACCGGAGACAGCCATAATCTAGTAGGCTCAACTCAGCGAGGTAGCTCCCCAAGAATTCCATTAACAAGATGGAGCGCTGCAACAAGGATGCAAAGAAAAACATCAGACATCAATGCACATTGAAAGAAGAAAACAATTGGATATGATAAATCAGAATGGGTTAGCAACCTTCTTGTCTTCATGAGCAGATCTTGTGAACCGCCTGAAATCAGCAAAACAAAAGACATGTGGTAGCAGATATTCTATTAGCCAACATGTTCAGATGGAAATTAAGCAATAACATGAAAATATGAACTTGTGGGTCAGTGGGCACGCCACCTCAGGAAGGTCTTGATGGTAGGATTGCCCAACTCGAACTTGAGAAGCTTGAGTATGTCGCTCTCCATCTTGAGGAGCTCCTCTTTGGTGTAGGTGTTGTCTGTGATGTAGCAGAAGTCCTCAGGATGAGGCGGGCTGATCTCCTCGTACTTCCTGCAAGCACCGGACCCGAATCAATACCCATTTCTTCAATGCCCCAGAATTAGAAGCAAAGGGCACAATGTGGGTGGCACTTACGCAGCAATGAGCATGGAGGCAACGCCAAGGAGCTGCAGCTTGTCACGGCCGAGCACATTGACAGAGAGGAAGCAATCGACATAGGAGATGGCGAGGTAGAGCGTGTCAGCAACGAGCTTATACTCCTCGGCGACCTCGACGAGCCAGTCGACGAGGATGCTCCGCATGTGGGCCGTAACGTCCGCCTGCACCGCCTCGATGTAATCGGATCTGGACCGCCGCCGCTGTTCCACCTGCACCCGCAGCCCCAAATCCGTATCAAGCCAGCGTCAGATCAGACGAGCCCCAATGCAGATGCGTCGAATCTGCGGAAATGCGAGAGGGGTTGGAGAGCGGAGCGGAGTGCAGTACCTCCAGGGAGCGGAGGTAGGTGTAGATGTCGGAGGCGTAGGACCCGCAGAGCTGGGGGTCGGCGGGCGCCGCCGCCGCGGCGGCGGCGGTGGCGCGCGGCGGCGAGGAGGAGGCGGAGGAGTCGGTGTCAGCGGTGGCGCGCGGCGCGGAGAAGGAGGCGGAGTTGGACTCGGCGGCGCGCGGCGGGGAGGAGGACGCGCAGCGCTCGGCCTCGGCGGCGGCGGCGGGCCCGCGGGCCTCCGACGCGCCGGGCCTCGCGTGCCTCCCGGGCCTGGACGCGGGCGTCGAGGGCTTGACGGGGCGGGACGGCGCGCGGAGGGCGGCGGCGTTGTTGGCGAGCGCCGGGAGCTCCCCGAGCGCCACCCGCCTCCGCTTGGCGTCGCCGGGACCCTCCGCCGGCGCCACCGCCGCCGCGCGCTTCGCCGCGGCCCGCGTGAGCCGGGGCCCCGCCGCGGCCCGGGCCCCCGCCGAGGGAGCTGCGTTCTCCTTGTCCGCCATCGTCGGCCTCGTCAGCGGCGGGGGAAGGGGGAGGCGGACGCTTAGGCGCGGGCCCCTAGCTAGGGTTTCGGCTCAGGTCTGCCTAGGCTGGACGGGGAAATGCCGAAATGGGGAACAAATCGAGACGGTTAAGTAGCGAGCGCAGGCTGCGGAGGAGAGAGGAGGAGGCCGCCAAAACGCGATTCAAAATGAGCGAAGGGAGGGGGAGCGCGGCGGTTCTCGCTTGGGTCTCCGGCGGGAGCAGCGCGCCCCTGTCCCCTCTCTGGCTCCTGATCTGAAATGCGGAGGCGCGGTGGTGGCGGCGGCGGGCGGAGGGGACCAGGGTTTTTGCTCTCTCTGTTTTTTTTTTTTTTGGCGCGGCCCGTGGTTTTAATAAAATTAAAAATTTGTGAGGGGAAAAGGGGGCCGGCAGCATGTGACGCCGTGACGGTGTGAGTGTGAGTGTGGTTAGGCGGGACGGCTGGCGATTAAATATTTCCGAAAATCCGAGGCGTGGGCCACCACAGTGTACCGCCACTTTGGGCTTTCGGAGCCCACGCGGCCCAGCGGGGGCGGCAGGAGCTGGTACGCCGTACGCGTCGCCCGGTCGCCGGCGCACGAGCAGTCCGGCCGAGCACGAACACGAGGAGCAGAGCAGGCAGCGTTACCTCATGGCGACCTGGCCCCACCCTGGCGGCTCTCTGATGACATGAGAGGGGCCGCCGATGCGTCGGCCTCGGCCCCGATCTCCAGGAGGCCGTGCATAGCCCAGCCCCAGCTGACGTGATTTGTTTTGGGCCTTTTGGCCAATCTTCGAGTACAACTTTTTTTTCCGGCTTTCTCTTGTTCTCATCGATTTTTTTTTACCAAAAAACACTGTACTAACCTTGCCAAGTCAGAATATCAAGTGAGTGGTGTGTTTGAAAGTCAACCTAGTTTTTCTAGGGACTTGTGCGAGCAAGGATTGCCTTGCTACTTGAAGAAAGCCAGAGGCTCGCTTATGCTGGCAAGGTCCTCGGTGCCAGCGCCGGTGAGGTGAAGCAAGCTGGGCAAATAACCAAGCACGTCCTATGTTCGTTTGTTGTGTTTTTGGTTACCACGGTATACGGGTGGAGCCAGAGCAAATGCGAGGGAGGTGTGCTTGCCCTGTGGGTACATAGGATTTTACCGTATTGGTGCGAATATGGTAAAAATTTGATCATAATCACTGCTTTTTGATATTTTTGTCGGTGCGCCCGCACCATGTACAGTATATATAGATCCGCCCCTACGGTACACGATATATTTCTTGGGTTAAACGAACTGGGTGCCCCATCGAAGAACTACCATTATATTCACATATCTCCTTTCCAAGATAGTTGTAACGGCAACAATCCAGTTAACCCTTAACCTATGTCTCTTTTTTTTTTAAACACACACACACTTACTCTTGTGTAAGCACGCACGGAATCAAGAAAATATACCAAAGATACTTGGTTTAACAAAGTTACCTAGGAGGTCCTTCGTTTTGGGGGCTTAGCCCCAAACCAAGCTTGTTGGGTGCACTTTAGTCATGTTTGGTTGTATTTGTCATGCTCGTTGCTAGGCCTATCTAGTGCAAAAGATACCACTTAGCCAGTCTTGCTTGGAACACACACATCAATCGTTTCTAGCAAACGAAGCTTGTGCTAGTGGTCAGTGGATTCCAAAAATAATCCCTTCATCTGTCTGTTGCCACCACTAACCATCCAACGACCACTTGTAGCCCTATCATCCTCCTCAAGCAATGTATTTGGTGGCATCGTACAGTAGTCTGCTCTAGGGCGTCTGCATGTGCTCGTACCTGATGCCTAGGCAACATCTCTGCACACACCACACAATGCCCTAGCATTCGCTGTAGTGCCATACACTAACTTCCCCCCTCGGCAACGACCTTTGTGGTGTCGCTCATCCAACCTGGCCCCACACTCTCGAGCACACATTGTGGATGTGTCGAGTTCCAGTAGCTAGAGCCATCAGCCCTGCCAGGGCCCAGCACATTGTTCTCCTGTTGCTTGCTCGCCAGCGCCTTGGCAACAGCCTTCCCCTCCCCTCCTCCTCGACATACATGTGTTGGCATGAGAGACACACATAGATGAGTGATCCGAGTGTTGTGAGGGTGTGAGTAGCCATGAGAGTTGAAGGTTGCTTTCAAGAACGCTTGAGATCATATCCATCATCCGATGGAGACGGTGGTCTTCATGGCGGTTCCAAAGGTGATGTGGAGCGGCCCGTATCAATGTGTGGGGGACTAGGAGACCCCCTCCTACTACATGGAGAAACTATGTGCTCGTACACTGGAATGGGTGGATGTTTGGTAGTGGGACTTGGTGACTTCCGCCTTCTTTGGTTTGTGGTACAACATTGTGACCTTCTTTAGTGATAGTGATGACAATGTGAGACTTGGTCACTCACAACATTGTCTTTAGTTGGGTGTAGTCCAACACCAGGAGCGTGGGGGTATTCGGTTGACTAAAATTATAGTGAGAATTACAAAGATTTTGTGACATCATATAGGTATACTATGAAAATATAACTAACGAAGAATCTAATGATACTTATTTGGTATCATAAATGTTATTATTTTACTATAAAAATTTGGTCAAACTTGAGATGTTTTGACTCTCTAAAAAAAATTAGAATGACTTATAATCTGGGATGGAGGAAGTGCAACAGTCTTCTTAGCTCCCACGGGCGAGCTTGTAGTGCATCATGTCAATATACTACTTAGTTACTATTACTATTACTAACTGAAATAATACGTACTGAATGCACGTGAAGGAGACTGAATGAAAAGTAGGAGTAACAAGGAGGGCTCACTATGTAAAAAAAAGACATTACAGACGTGCGTTGAAGCACATTACAGATGCGCTTCGGCGCGTCTGCCATAACGCGTCTGTAATAAGGTCTCATTACAGACGCGAACACGCGACTGTAATGAACAAAACACACATCTGCGAGAAGAATACACGCGTCTGTGTAAGAGTTCTCACAGACGCATGTAGTCAAAACGTGTTTGTGATAACCCCTTATCACAGACGCGCATAGCCAACACGTGTCTGTGATAACGATTTGCAAAAAAAAATCCCTAATGCCAGGGTCTTATATACATGTCACTTGCTAATTATATATAGTACTCACTTCTAATTAGCAATTTCATATTACATGTCCCCACCAACATACTACAAGTAAACCTACTTGCTACTCGAACTAAGATAACAAGCTCTAGTAACTAATAATCTTCTTGAAGGAAATATTCAAGTCATTGGATTCTGCTATCTGCCAACCTACATACAGGTATGAATAGAAGTAACAGAAGTACAGGTATCATAGGTCATACATGAGTAACAGAAGTATAGGCAGCATGTTTGCAATTAACCATGTCTAGTAAGTTTCTAGCTATGACAGAACTTTGCTACTACTTCACCTAGGTGCATGAACTTGCCTTGTTATCTGGTTTTCGACACAATATTTGGCAGATTCATCTTCTGGCATATCCACTAGTTTCTGTTCAAAAGCACAGCTGAAAGGGAGTATGACAAGTGTGAAAGGAAGCACAGCTGAAACAACAAAAATATCCCTACCTATGAAGCAGCACTTAGATCAGAACTCTTCTCCACACTCCACTTGGCTCTCCAACCTTTCACCTCTGCAAGCACCCTATCAATGGCTTTATGCTGCAAACAGAAAAGAAAATCATAAGAATGAGTAAGCTTACCAAACTGCTGCAGCAAACAACTAATTTGGCTTCCATCCTTGACTATCTTGATTTGGCTTCCATCTGTTCCAAGTACCTGATAATAAAAGAATGTAAGAATAATTAGGCCCTGTTTGGTTGAGCTGTGGCTGTGGGAAAAAGCTGCTGTGGGCTGTGAGCTGTGAAAAAGCTGCTGTGGGCTGTGAGCTGTAGAAAAGCTGAAAGCTGTTTGGTTAAACAAGTATAAAATATACCTTTTATCTTTATCTCTCTTGAAACAACTATGGAAGAGCTTTTTATTCCATCAATTTCGAAAAGCAGAAAGCCAAAAGCCAAAAGCAGGGTCAACCCAGCTTTCAAAAATGAACTACGAAAAAGCAGCTGCTTCTGAAAAAGCACCCTCCAAAAGCAGCCCCTTTGGTTGGGCTTTTGGCTTTTGGGGCCAAAAGCCAAAGCCAAAAGCCCAACCAAACAGGGCCTTAGCACCGAGGCTTCAAACAGCTGTGCAGCCAAACCGTTGGTAATCTAATGCTTGTATCGCCAGTAATGCAACTGAAGCCTCAGTGATGCAAGACATACATTATTGGAGAGGATGACCCTCCCCTATTTTAAAATAGATGCCCATCAAGTGATCGGAACAAGCACGTAGAGGATGGCCTTAAAGCCCACATATCTGCACAACTGCTTTTGCCCAACTGCTTCTGACATGGGCGGCTCGACGACTCCAGCGGCGGCGGTGGCAGGAGCGTCGGATCCTGGGAGGACGCCATGGCCAGCCCTGCCCGCATCTGGCGGATCCGCGTTACGCCGCCCGAATCCGTGCCGGCGGCGGCGCGGGCATGGCCTGCCTCGAATCCTAGCTTTAGGGGGGCGCTCGACCTGCGACCTACGACATCAGGTTGACGAACCGCCACGTAGTGGAAGCCCCACCTCCCCACCTTTCTAGATCTAGACTAGATCTGAGATGGAAAGGAGGGGGTGGTGGCCGCACCGGTGGAGGAGGGGGAGGTGGCCGCGCCGGTAGAGGAGGGGATGGTGGCCGCGATGGTGGAAGGAGGGGGCGGTGGCGTCATGTTTAACACCCTGTTTTGATTGGGGGAGATTTCAATATCATAAGATTTGCTTGTGAGAAAAACAAACCGGGTGGTGTACAGAGATTCTCTGACATGTTTAACACCCTGATTGACTTTCATGAGTTGAGAGAAATCAATATGTCTGGAGGCTGTTATACTTGGTCTAATAATCAGGAGATCCCAACTTTTGAAAAACTGGACATAATTCTAATGAATAAAGAATGGGAAGATCT